TTCCCTACACCATCTTCAAATACTGTCTTACTTCTCCCTTTTTTAAAAAAGACAGCATGTTCCAAAACATAATATTTAGCACAAAAATAGGTATGGTTCTTTTCTGTTTGTACCTTTTCTTTTGCCAAAACTTTGTTGTCATCTTTGTACGTGGGTCCTAATTTATAAATATTGTCTCTCAAGGCCCTCTGCATTTCTATTTGTTTCCCGAGACCAAGATTTTCAAAAATAGGAGCTTATTTTTTTCTACTGAAATGAATGGGAACCATGTCAGCATTGGAAAATCACTTATTTAGTTGCCTAAATAGGGATTTAGGAGCCTAACATTAGAGTCTTATTTTTGAAAATCTTGGCTTTACTTTGGAACTAGTATGAAATGAATTTTAAATTTGTTAATCATCTAATTTCATGATACTTATTTTGTTCTGTGTAAATTGGCATGTCTTTCATGCACCTGAGATGTGATGCAAATCAAATCAATGGCAAGTTCAACAAAAAGGAGGACACGTTATGTTCTGCTTAATTAAAAGGTGGGGGAAGAGGAGACCCTAACAGATTTCAGATCACAAAAACAGGAGAGTTGTTAGAAATCCGGAAGGGACAGAGTTCCATATTAAATATAGGAATAGAAGATGCACCCTAATCAGATCAGGACATCAGTTCATTACTTTCAGCAGCAGCCAGTGCTCAGACTAGAAAAAGAAAAGTGAGAATAAGCTTCACTGCATTCCTACCTCCTTCTCCCTCAACACACACACCCTTTTTCAACCATTAGCAGTCAAAAAGTTGAGGCATGACCCATTCATCTCCACCTCCCTGTTAGCCTGTCAGTATCTACTTCTCAGTGCCTCAGAGAATGGGGGGAAATGGAAAAAAATGCAGACAATTGTGCAGTGCTATACATGACCTTTTATAAGGAAAGAAATACAGCCTAATGATACTCAATCATAGAATATCAGGGTTGGAAGGGACCTCAGGAGGTCATCTAGTCCAACCCCCTGCTCAAAGCAGGACCAATCTCCAACTAAATCATCCCAGCCAGGACTTTGTCAAGCCTGACCTTAAAAACCTCGAAGGAAGGAGATTCCACCACCTCCCTAGGTAACCCATTCCAGTGCTTCACCACTCTCCTAGTAAAAAAGTTTTTCCTAATATCCAACCTAAACCTCCCCCCACTGCAACTTGAGACCATTACTCCTTGTTCTGTCATCTGCTACCACTGAGAACAGTCTAGATCCATCCTCTTTGGAACCCCCTTTCAGGTAGTTGAAAGCAGCTATCAAATCCCCCCTCATTCTTCTCTTCTGCAGACTAAACAATCCCAGTTACCCCAGCCTCTCCTGATAAGTCATGTGCTCCAGCCCCCTAATAATTTTTGTTGCTCTCCGCTGGACTCTTTCCAATTTTTTCACATCCTTTTTGTAGTGTGGGGCCCAAAACTGGACACAGGACTTCAGATGAGGCCTCACCGGTGTCGAAAGAGGGGAACGATCACGTCCCTCGATCTGCTGGCAATGCCCCTTCTTGGCAACAAGGGCACACTGTCGACTCATATCCAGCTTCTCGTCCACTGTAACCCCTAGGTCCTTTTCTGCAGAACTGCAGCCTAGCCATTAAGTCCCTAGTCTGTAGCAGTGCATGGGATTCTTCCGTCCTAAATGCAGGACTCTGCACTTGTCCTTGTTCAATCTCATCAGGTTCTTTTGGCCCAATCCTCTAATTTGTCTAGGTCACTCGGTATCCTTTCCCTACCCTCCAGAGTATCTACCACTCTTCCCAGTTCAGTGTCATCTGCAAACTTGCTGAGAGTGCAGTCCACACCATCCTCCAAATCATTAACGGTAAGGACTGCTGCCTAAATAGAGATACCTCCATATGATAGGTGGTGTTGACATAGGGACTTGGTGACTATTGAAAACAAATGGTCTTTCCTCTAAAGACCCTTTCTAATACAGGGTCAATTAAACAAAATTACTTCAATGACCCTTTCCAAGCATCATTTAAAATCAGCTCACTTTAAGACTTTTCAGATACTCTATGGCGGTGGATTTCTCTCCATCAATTCTATTTCATCTCCTTTCGGGGAACAAACACTTTAAGCCTTTTGTCAGTGGGAGACCTTTCAGTCTTTAGTGAGCTATCAGGTTTGATGTGAATGAAATAAGGGAATTTGAGAATCATTTTTTATTTTAAAAAAGGCATCTTCTCTCAATAGGGAAATCTGATTAATTAGGATTAGGATAATCAGGACACCCCCACTTAAAAGAATTTTACTATATAATCAAAACATTTGTCTTTGAAAATTAGGGTGAAAAGCATTTGTAGCGCCATCAGCTAGAATGTGATGGAATCTCTCCCCCCTCCTCCTTCCCCAGATATTGTTCATGTGAGGCTGACAATTTGCTATTCAACTTCAAAGATGCTTTACAGAATGCTATGCTGAACAGTTTGGATTTGTGCATTCTTCCCTCATTGTTAACTGTATATTGCATATTGCTTATTAACAACGTTTTGGGCATGGGTGGCCATTGGGGGAGGCTAGTCCCTGGCCCCTCCCCTTATGCCCAAGGCCCTGCCTCTCCCTCTCTCCATTTGTCCCCCTCCCCGTCAGTAGCCCAAAGCACCCCCACTGCAGCCCCCAGCCCAGCGCCTGGTGGCACAGCTGCAGCGCCCCCTGCCCAGGTGCACCAGGCGGCCAGCCCCAGAGTGCTGGGCAGCAGCGCCGTCAGCCCCTGTGCGCTGGATGGCAAGGCCACAGTGCCCCCAGTTCCAGTGCGCTGGGCAGCACAGTCCAAGCACCAGCCGCCCTGAGTCCCTGCAGCAGGCCAGCCAGCCCCAGCCCCAGCCCCAGCAGAGGACCAGGAACTGCAGGAGGGGACCTGGGCGTGGAGCATAGATTTGGGGAGGCACACCCTCCCCCAACCTATGATACCTGCTACCCATCTTTTTTGGGGAAGAAAGGCCCCAACTGCAGGCAGAGAAGGAGATGCTAGGACATGCCTTACTAGGTTGCAGCCCTGCAAACTTGCCTGCTACCAATGCTCAGCGCTTCTTTCTGGGGCTGTGTGATGCTGGCAGACCAGGTGCCAGCGCTTGCCAAGGCTTTAGGCGTCAGTTGCACACTGACAAAATTCATTTATGGAAACTAGTCTGTTTCACCTGTGTGTTAGTATGGTTGAGATGGATACTGAACTTGTAACAATGTTTAGACTTTATGAAATGCTTGTAAATTGCTGCATGCAATAATCTCACTTATTATTTCTTTATCACATGCTATAAGGTAATATTTAAGTTCCTGCTTTATAACTGTAAAAAAACATTTGCTTTGAAACTGTGAACCAAGTCAGGAGAAATTGTCTTCTAACCATCAAGGAGGCCTATCAAAACTAAATGAGCCACTGTAGGACATTGCAATACAAAGGCTTTGTTAATTGCCCTTTCAAACCCATGAAGAAGCTATGTGCAAAAGGGCTCTTCCCACCAGCTTGAATTCTGGAAAAAGGAAATAAAATCAGCTCCCAAGAAAATTTTTACTTTTTTTGTTTTGTTTGCTGTTTGGACTCTCACTGGGCCAGAGCTATGAAAGAGAAACAGAGATCCCCGCACTCAGCCTGGTTTAGCCCTAAAAGAGATTCAGAGCTAACAGATTACTATAGCTGTCACCTTTTAAAACCACAAAACGTAACTCATTTGCTTGCTTTAACTTTTTAACAACTCTCGAACTTCTTTTTCCTAGTTAAATAAATCTTTAGTTTATTACAGAATTGGCTACAAGTGTTGTCTTTGGTGAGAGATTGAAGCTACACATTAGCTTACCTGGGGTAAGTGACTGATCCCTTAGGACTGAAAGCAATTTAAATTTTTGTGATTTTTGGTATATAGCAACCAACTACCACCAAGTCCAACGTTCTTGGGAGGCAAGATAGACTGGAATGCCCAAGGAAACTTTCTGTGACTCCACAGTAAAACTGTTGTAGTGCTTTAGGAGTAAACATTTGTTACTGGATTGGTGAAATCTAATTATAGAACATACAACCAGCCTGGGGTGTCTGCCTTGCTTCTTGACAGTGTGCCCTGAGGTTGGCACTCACGCTCGTGAACCACTCCGGACACCGTGGCAATTGACTGCAGCTAAGCAAACTTGCCCATGTAGAGGAACTACAGAGAAGGTGAGGTAAGGTAAGGGAGGGGAGGCTGTGGGCAGGGCAGTAGCAGAAAAGGGGGCTGCAGCTTGGATGCTGAGCTGCATGGTAACCCTCATTGCCTCTTGCCAGGAGACTGCATGCAGGGAAGCAAGTGATGGGACATGCTGAGCCCCAACACATAGAAAAAGGAGAGGTACTGTATAGCCCCATGGGACCCCTAGCACCTTCCCTCCCCACCGAGAACCCTGGCATCCAGGCTGCTGTCCTCCTTCCTACTGATGCTTTGCCTGAGCTGGTTTGCAGCCAGTGAAAGCACATCCCAGAGCTACCTTCCCTGGCTGTAGTCTTGCAAACCTGCCATCCACTTATTAGCAACTGCTGGGTAATAACTTTTTGCTGAAGACCGAGGACTTGCTAATATGTGGAATCTACTGTATTTAAAAACAAAAAACAAAACAAACCCCTAAAACTCTACCAAAATAAGACATTCCACAGGACGTGTTTCTCCCCTTGGGAGAGGATGAGAGAATAAATACCTGACAAATGCATAGTCACATTGCTTAATGCACAACTGCAGAGTGCTCAGGTACTACCATGATGACTGCAGTATAAGACCTATATAGAATAGAATACTTACCCAAGCACCAAAACAAAGGCAGAGAAAGGAGTTAATAAAGGATGATGAAACAGGCACCTGAGGGAACTCAAGCAGTGTCTTCATTTCAGTCAAAGACATCTTTGGAGAAAAAATATTAATAATGGGATATATGGGAGGAACAAAACTGCAACTATGAGCAATTCATATGGGAGTGGTGTTGGAGAAATAAATTGTCAAAGAATGATATGACAAAGGCATAGAAAGAAGATAATTATTTATTCAAAAAAGCAGAGCAAGCAGAATGTCATGGGTGAAACTGCAGGCGCCCTTAGAAGTTTAGATGGATTAGTAGAAGATCCTCTGGCTTTCTTACTACATGCTATTCTAGTTTTGTTACAGATATATTGAAGGCAAGAACCCTCCACCTTTCTTTTTGCATGCTTCTACATTCTTCTGCGTCTTTCATCACAAGCTGAAGGGAAAAAAAATCTTTACCCATGTCTATCCTGACTATTTTGAGTTCTCAAATGGTGAGCCACAATAGCTGTACAGCTAGACTGCTGAGAAAACCTTCCATGACAGGTTGTATCAGCTCCTGACCTTTCACTGACACCAGCCTCAATACCCCTTGCATCTCCTCTTGCAAACATCTCTGTGGCTTCTTCCTTGTTAGCCCTTCTGCTTGGAATGTCTTCCAAAAAGTTGTTCAAGCCTCCACAATTACCTCATTCAAATCCTTCTTAAAAACTAACTTCTGCAATATCATCAACAAATAAATGAGTGCATTTACATGAAGTAGTTTATGAACCAACTAAATGTGCATAACAGAATAGCAATGTAAATACATCCCCATGACCTGGTTCCTTCCTCACCTCTCCCCCTTCCATAGTGTACATGTTACCCTCATTTGTCAAATCTCTCATTTGGATTGTAAGCTCCTTGGGGCAGGTACCCATTTTCTATGTGTTTTTGACATACACTTGTGAGTGCTCGGAAATCACAAGAGGCAGTTTGTATATGCTCTCCTAGTGCATGATAGTTAGACAAGTATGATACATACATAAACACTAAGCAGCTAAAAATGTCTCCGTATCATCCTTTATTCTCCATGCTCATGCAAACCAAGTCATTGCAGGCCTTGGGGATAATAAAAATAGTTTGCACCATTAGTGGCATATCTGATTATCTTAAAGCACTTTACAACAAAGGTAAAGTAGTAATAAATTTTGAAACCTTATGTTTAGGACCAGTTAAAAGATATTGGGAAAAATTATTTTAAAAAATATTTGTAAATAAAACAATGGGTAGAATATGTACAAGTTGCAATATGTACTCTGCTCAGTACTGCACTATGTGACGCATTTCTGAAGTTCAATGAAGCTTAAGATAAAATATTGCTTCAGTGTTCCTTTAGTGGTTTATGTCCTGTCAGTTTCTTTCACAGAATGTTTTAGTGACTCTTCCAAACAAAATAAAATAAAGGAGTGCAAAGTACTTTAGTATTGAGACAGAGTCCAAAACTAATAAGAATGGTTGCAATAGTTGTTCCTGTAGCTTTAAAGTGGATTTTTTCTTTTATTTGAATGTTTTCATGCAATATCTTTTGTCGACATTCTGCAAATGATGCCATCAAGTAAGGTGCCAATTTTTTCTTCCTGTGGAGTAAGTTTGTACATCTGTGGAAACAAAACAAAAAACATGTAAAGATTATACAGAGAAGAAAAAAATTGGGCATGTACCCTTTTTCTTAAAAAAAAAACCCAAAACAACAAAACACATTTCTTTATAAAGAAGATATTTAAGTATTTTTGAAGATTTTTTTCCTTTTTTTTTACATTAGAAATGTAGATCTTGTCTTTCAGGCTAGACTTAATGGAGATTGAGGAACTAGACACATTTTTACATCGCAGGAGGCAAGAATGAAAGGTAAGAAACAGAGGGAATGGGACTTTTAGCCCGCCCTTAAAAGCTCTATTTTTTTTGGTTTGCATCTAATTAACTTTATTAACATAATCAGCATTTTGGAAACTGGGACTGAAATCTTCACCTCGCAAAACTCCTACTGTATTCAGTGGGACCAGGATTCCACATAGGATCAAATATTTAAGATTGACACCTTTGCCCTTCATTTAAGTGAGAGGGCTCCCAACACTCATCTCAAAAATTTATTAAAGTTTCTCCAGCAAAAGCAAGGAATACTAGACTTGACATTCTTGATATTTCTAAAGGTTAAAAAAAAGAAGGCTTGGGCTATTTTTTTTTTTTTTTACTTATTATAGGAAAGAAAAAGGGGCACGAACACAGTTTTTAAGTGTCCTTTGCTGGTCAGGTTTAAATATGAAAATTGGTTTGCAACCATTACTTTAAATAGAATTTCAGGCACCGAACATCTATTTTATTTTCTAGCACAGTTAACTAGACTTCTGTTTTGGTTTCCAGAAGTCTATAACACATCAAAAAAAAGCAGCAAGGACTTAAAATAAAGGCTATGACATTATTGCAAAAATTTTTTATTTCTAAAGCAATTGCCAGCAGCCTGTCAACTCAATACTACTATTTTAGGGCCCTCCAATTGGATTATTCACATGCTTAAAGTTAAGAAATTGTGTAAATCTTCGCAGTATTTGGGCCTTATTTTTAATTCCATTCATCTTCCCTAGAGAAAAACAGAAGGTGCAAACCTGCTGTTGTGAGAAACCTCAAAAGGACTCATTCCTAGCATTCCTCGTGTACCCAAAACTCCCACTGAAGCCAGTGACAGTTTTGGATGCTGCTGGATCAACATCCATTGAAAAATGAAATTCCCTGAATAGAAAACAGAAGCAGCAGCAAACAAATACTCCATTTCCACTTAAAATAAAAGTTTCCAATCACTTACACAAAAACCCACAAGGTTAAAGAAAAGTAATGAGTACTCACACTACAGATTTGGGAATCTTTAGAAGCCAATTTGGATTTAATGAGCTAGTTAAGTAAAATATCCCAGCCTTAGTCATATTTCACATATTCCTAAAACAAGCCTTTACAAACCTTTTTAACTTTGGATATGTCTGTTATTTTGTGGAGTTCTGCTAGAGAAACCTGCTGGCCTTCCACTTGAGATATTATGCTTTCCAGATTTACAGTTTTTTCTTTATCTTCAATCAGAACAATGAGCACTGCAGAATCATTGTCTGAAATACCAAACTTTTTCAATGCATCTGAAATCTAAGATAAAATGAGAAATATTGAAATTGTATTGGTCATTTTCTTATTACATGGAAGCCAGTGACCAGTATAATCTTTTCAGTCATTTTGCTAAATTTTCCAATTGTGTAAACTGGCATAGTTCCACATCTGTGGAGCAGTGCCAGTTTATAGCAGCAGAGAATATAGACCCAATTTTTACTTTGGTAAGTCATATGGTTTTGGTGTCCCAAATACTTTTGTGTCTAAAGTGTTCGTTAAGAAATTTTAGGGGTTATTTTTTTGTCAACAGGACAGTATGTCCATAAATGATCAGAAAATTAAAGTAATTACCTTTGGCCACAGACCAAAGTTGCGTAAGTGGACAATGACCACTGTATTGAACAAATCAAGTCCTTTTCTTATCTGGGCATTTTGTTTTACATGCTGCAATGAATAGGATAAGCATATACAGAAGGTTAAGGAGCATGCCTTAAAGTCTATACAAGCAGTTCTTTATTTTTTTCATATGTATGGAGATAATTTAATTGCTTCAGTGCACAGAGTGTTTAGGGCAAAGTTTGTGCTCAAATATTCAGTGGTACAGAAATTTGGGACTAGAAAATTGTTCTGAGGTCATTAGAGATAGTGCAAAATATATTTTTGAGGGAAATGTTTGGTCTTCCTAATTCTGTCCCAACTCTTTTACTTACGGCAGAGGTGAGTGAATGCTTTATCTCAACCAAAAGCACAATGCCTCTATATTAATGACTGGTTATGCATTCAGAATGTGAATTTACATTCCGGAGGAACACCTTCATAAGTCTAAAACTTTAAAATTGCCCTTGCTTTTGCAAGTCCACTAATTTTTGCATTCCTGGAGTTTTCTGGAACTTAGGGTATAATAGAGAAATATGTGGAAATCTTACTAATAAGCTAATTAGAAACACAATTTTCAAACAAAGGGGGCTTTCTTAAAAAGGAAGTGAGCTCGCACTGAGAGGCACAATTGTTTATGCACATGTAGGTCTAGCCATGTTGAAGATTTGCCCCATTACTTATTATTTTGTAGTGTTTATTGTCATCAGAAAAATAAAAGTTTTTCCAATTTTTGCTCAAGTCAAGTGAATGCTTATTTTCAGCTTGGCTAGGTGGATTTTGGAAAGCTCTTCTGGCAACAGAGACATTTGCTCAGCAAAGAAAATCTTACATTGTTGTTTGGGGAAAGGTTGAAAATAATTTCTGCATTAAGAGTTCTAGTCTTCATTTTACCAATCCTGTGTAGGTGAACTGCTTTGTTTGTTGCCACAAGAATCTGAAATGGATCAACAATCTGCAGAACAGAATAGGAAAAGATTAAAACTATAAAGAATTAGTTCCCCCCTTCCCCCCCGCAGTCAAAATCATATCATCTTAATAATGTAAACTTTCTCTCAATTACTTCTTTTTTACTGTCCTAAAATCTGCCATCCTTACATTGAGCAATAGATTATTCTGTGAGTTGTCCCACTGAAGTCAATGGGACTACTCACTGAGACAGGTAGTACTCAACCTGTTAGGATGACTGACTGTGTCCCTTAGTGATCAATGAATAACATCACTGATTAAACTGTCTCAAATCAAAGAATTTAAAGGAATCAAATCCAGCAATCTAGTGGGTCAAGGTTGTTTAATAAAGTTCTTTTTCTCTTCAGTAACCATTGCTTTGCTATTTCTAACAAAAGGTAATGGCAGGTTCTGAAAATAGTTATGCAGTGAAAGAAGAACAAAGGCTCTTAGATATTAGGACATGAAGACTATTCAAACTATTTCTGGAACTAAATCTTTAAATGATTAGCATTTACTTTGACAGATGGAAGTAAATCATTCAAATAGCTACATCTTCCATCATCTAGGAGGTGAAGTGAATCAAAGACAGACGGCTGTAAACTCTTAAAGCCTACAATCAGATCTGCATGGGTAGACCCTTACACTTGTATGAAGTCCAAGTGAAGTCCATGGGGCTGTGGATAGGCCCAGAAGTCCAACCATGTGCAGAAGCTTGCGGGAATACAAACATATCGAGTTTCGTATACAGTTCTTAACAGAGGAGGAATTATAGCTTACAAAACTGTAATACAATAGAAACAGTTACAATGGGCAATTATTTGGTGATTTGCTTACCATTGCAGGATTTATTAATGCTCCATCAATAGATCCTTCCATTGCTTTTTTTCTTAGAGCAACAGCATTTTTGACATCGTTAAACAAAACAAGAGTCACACGACAGTCAGGAAATAGTTCCAGTTGATGTGTGAAATGCTGCATCTTGTAACAAAAGAGTGAGTTTGCCTTGAACCAGTATAAAACAGCCAAACCTAGAGTATTTATAAACATAATTAATGCACAGGATTCATAATACTTAAGATAACTTTGTCTCTTTCAGAATGATGTTTCTTAATGAAGCTTAAGTAGCAAATACCATAAAATATGGGTCACTTCACCTTGAATGGTTCCTTGAAATATGTATTTACTACTTATGCTAAACCAGTGGTTTTCAATGTTTTTTCATTTGCGGACCCCTACAAAATGTTGAATGGCGGTGTGGACCCCTTTAAAATCTTAGACATGGTCTGCGGACCTAGGCAGGTCCGCAGACCACAGGTTGAAAACCACTGTTCTATGGACAACCTTTTCCAGAGCCCTTAGATATAGTCTGCAGACTCCCAGGGGTCCACGGATCACAGGTTGAAAACCACTGTGCTAAACAATCTATTCCACTTTGTATTTAGCTGTGACACTGTGATTAAGATTCCCAGAGCTGAAGAAGAACTCTGTGTAAGCTAAAAAGCTTGTCTCACTCACCAATAAAATATATTACCTCACCAACCTGGCCTCTCTATCATCCTGGGATCAACACAGATACAAAAAACATTGCATAAAATAACCACTCCTGTGACATGAATTTTCAAATATTTTCTTAGTATGGACCACATTTTAATACAAAAATTGTCTCATGGACCACCACCTCTCCTATTCAGGATTACAAATCGCTTCCCCAGCCATTCACAATCAGATGACATCTCAGTCGTTTATATGGAAAAAATATTAAGAAAGTTGGGAGACAAAAGTTTTGCAGATGGAAACAAGAAGGAAGCCCAGGCACCAGTACATGACCAGTCACTTGTCCACTGGAAGGTCCCAGATTTTAATAAGGTGCTGCCATGCCCTTCTCCTAAATGGGAGTTGAAGGCACTCCGGGACCTTGTAAGAGAGGCCTTTGGTGACTCTGGTCTGATTCAGTTTTACACATGCTTTCTTTCCTCCTTTTATCTCTTCTTTAATAAAATAAGTAAATATGATCATTATGCAAAAGTTAACACATTGTAAAAAGATTTGTAAAATGTTCCATTTATTATTTTTACTCTGACAAAAAAGACAAAAATTAACTTTAGCAATTGTATCCATTAATCTGAATATGCCCAAGAAAAAAATACCCAAAAAACAGAAAAAAAAAGTTTAAACAATATTAGTTCCAACTACCATCAGCTCCAGGCCGCCGGCAGTTGTAGGTGGGTGTGTCTGAGCCGAGGTGGCTCTGCAATGCTCTGGCAGGGACAAAGGAAAACGCTTTATGTCTTACAGCTCCTGTCACACTTCACCCCGGGCGCCTCCCATCATGGGACACGGAGGGACACTCAGATCTGCACAGGACCCAGCCCTCCCCAGGCCCCTGCCTGAGGCATCACCCACCCCGGAGCGCTCCCGCAGGGGCTGCTCAGAGCAGGGGGATATTCAGCAGCCAGCCCGCGTGGGCACCTCCCCCCCCGCTCTCCGCGTCCAGCTCAGCAGCTCCTTCCCCGCGCGTCTGTCCGTCCGACCCGCTTCCTCCTCCGCGTGCTGCGGGCAATCCCTTCCCTTCCTTCCCCGGAAACCCAGGCTCGCCCCCCGCCCCGAGCTCCGGCTCGGCAGGCTCCGTTCCGGCCGGCCCGCGCCATGGAGCGCTCCGAGGCCTATGGCTTCTCCGCCGCCATCAGCGGCGCCTTCCTGTTCTCGTGCCTGCTCTTCTCGGCGCTGAACCGCGAGCAGCGCGCGCCCTACATGGACGAGGCCTTCCACGTCCCGCAGGCGCAGGCCTACTGCGAGGGCCTCTTCCAGCAGGTGCGTACGGGGCTCCCCGGCGGCGCGGCCACGCCCCGCTTCCCACAGGGCGCTGCCGAGCCCCGGACTAGTGTCACCCCTACCCAGGGTGCCGCCTGCCCCGCTAGGCGGGCCCCAGCTCCCCCCGTGGCTGGCGGGATCCCGGCAGCCCCTCCAGCAGGGACACGGGTCGCCGTCCTGACTTCTTCCCGCAGCCTGCGGAGAGCCGGCTGGTGCGCTCGGTTTGTCTGGTGGCAAATACCGCCCAAACCCGAGTGTTTCCTTTTCCACCAACGTGTGTGGAAACACAGTCCCGCCATAGAATAGAATGGCAGGGCCCTCAGGAGGTCATCTAGTCCAACCCCCCCCCCCAAAGCAGGACCAATACAGATTTTTGCCCCATATCCCTAAGTGGCCCCCTTAAGGATTGAACTCACAACTCTGGGTTTAGCAGGCCAATGCTCAAACCACTGAGCTGCCTGCTGTGTGGCTGGGAGCATAGTGCTCAGACAGGCCTGGGAGTTGCGGCTGTCACACGGGTGCCAGGCTGCAAGCCCTGGACCCCTCGCAAGGTGCCCTGTTCCTTATCTCCTCTCCCTCTCCAGTTACACTCAAGTGAAGGGAATGACAATACTCAGAGCACTATCCTCCTGTAGTTTCTCTGTCGCCATCCCGGCATGATATAATACAATGTGTTATGGTACCTCCATAGATGTTGGGGATGCTGCAGCACCCCCTGGCTTGCAGTGGTTTCCATCATATACAGGGTTAAAGTTTGATGCAAGGGCTCTCAGCACCCCCACTATACAAATTGTTCCAGCACCCCTGGATACCTCTTTGTTTTTTGGTATCAGTCATTGGTCTTTTTTGGATGGGAGTGTTGGAGCTGTCTTTGGCTATGTCTACACACTAAGCACCACAGGCGGGGTGTGTAGGGTGTATTTAGCTACAGGGCACAGTGGAAAGCAGACTTCACCCACAGTATGGTGTATATAGCTATGCATATCAGTAAAAGGCTCTAGTGACATTGGCAGGAAAAGGCTTCAGCAGCTCACCACTGCGGCAGCTGTTCACTGTGATGAGGAAAGACTCTGGCGGGGGGGGATGCAATAAGAAAAGTAGGCTTTCCCTGCTGCCTCCTCCCTGCTGGAGTCCTTCCTAGCTGCAGGGAAAGACGCTAGCAATGGGGAGCCGGAGGAGCCTTTCCCTGCCACAGGGAGAGATTTCAGGAGCAGGGAAAGGCTCCAGCAGCAGTGATGCCGGGTTCTTTCCTTGCTGCCTCCCCCCTGCCAGAACCTTTCCCTGCTGCAAGAGTCTTTTCCTGTGGCCGGGAGAGGCTCCAGCAGCAGTGATGTATGGCTTGGGCAAGTAGAGAGCCATGCAGGGTATGTACTCGGGTACTTACTAACACCGTTTAGGTGTGTCTTTACTTGCCTGAGCCGTATCTTACCATCTGTGCTGCTATATATACCCGTTCTAGGGGGGCTACCTGTGTATTTATTCTATATGCCACAGAAATAAATGTGCAGTGTAGAATATATGCCTCCTATCTGCTGGAGCAGATTAAAGTGATTTGGCACTCAAATGATGTGATAAGTGGAGATGAGCTTTTAACAATTCTTGCTGGTTGGTGGACTGCACAAATTATTTCTGAGGGGGAGCAATTGTCAGGCCTTAGCTATCGACAGAAAAATGTGATATAATTATAGTCATAATTTCCGAGCTAATAAGTGCTTGTTAATAACAATAGTTTGAGGAATGCATGCACAGTACTTATGTTTCATTTAAGGGTGACCACAAAGAAGGAAAATATTGCTTGGGCCCTTTTTTGTTTATGATATATAAAGAAAGCTTGGACTTCTTTTTTAAATTAAGGATTTTTTCATGCTTGTTATTTTTACTTAAGATATATCAGCAATACCAAGAATGGTCTGCCCTGAGTTTGTATAAGCTGGGGAAATAGATGGGAATTGTTCTCAGAGGTTACAGAGGGGTAGAAAAAAATGGAGGGGAAAAAAAAGATAAAGTAAAAACGAAAGAGAATAAATTTACCCTAGACATCATTGACAAAGAGAAATAAAGGACAAAGGTAGAGGGAATGGGGAAAAAAGAAAACAAAATCAAAACCATTTAGTCCACCTTCTGCCAGGATTGCAGGGTTATTCCATTTAGAAAATCTATCCAGTCAATCTCCAAAGCAACTAGGCATCTACCAGTTATCTATCTCTTTTCTTCTAGTTGTCTGTTAGGTATTAACAAAAACTAAGATTTTAAACAGTCTGAATAGATGTCTGGTTTCTACTTGCAGTCAAGTTTCACTTGCTTGGTGCACTTGATGACATAGTCCTCTGGTTGGTTAGTTGGTTGTCCATAAAGTTTTTAAGAAAACTATTATGGTAGGGAAACTAAATGTCTAGTCATGTTAAAAAAACAAAACAAGCAGAAAAATATACTTTTTTATGGATGGGTTAGTGGAGAGGGAAACATTTGTATATCGCATAAAGAAGCAAAAAAAGGGCACAGGTGCAATTTCTTTTCCTTTTCATGTTGTCGTTAGCCCTTCCAGACAAAAATGATTGTTTTTTTATAAACCAAAATCCAGAGAATCCTAAAAAAAAATTAAAACTTTTTTTTGTGATTGAATGTAGAGTGAGACTGTTTTTGTTTACTGATCTGACTAATATTGACTATAAAGATAACCAATAACTTAATGGAAAATTAATGAGTTGGAGAGTAAGATAGAACTGCTTATCAACCTATTATTGTTTTTAATTGTTTCAGTGATGCATCTTTGGGTTTTCCCAATCCTTTAATCCCCTGTTTGTTTGTTTGTTTTTAAGTGGGACCCCATGATCACTACATTGCCTGGCTTATACTTGATGTCTGTTGGAATAGTGAAACCTGCAATTTGGCTCTTTGGATGGTCTGGAAGTGTAGTGTGCTCTACGGGAATGCTCCGATTTATTAACCTCCTTTTCAGTGTTGGGAACTTCTACTTACTGTATTTGCTTTTGTGCAAGATACATCATAAAAACAAGGTACACTCTGAATCCATTAGAATTACATACAGTAATACATACAGTTTTTTTTATGAGACTCTAAGCTATTCCCTTACTGTATGAGGAGTTTCAGATCTCTTCAGTTTTATGCAACAAATATTTATATCATTTAGATTATTTTACCGGCTCCTTCCTTTTTCTCTAAAAACAGGTTTTCCCCCCTCCCTTAAGGCTTGATCCTGTAAAGTTTTACACTTTACACATTAGAATAGTCCTATTCAAGTTAATGGGACTACTGTGTTTATAAAGTTAATATTAATAGATTTTTATAGCCTGAAAGGGACCATTATTATAATCTAGTCTGACCTGCATTCCATAGGCCTTAGAACTTCATGGAGTAATTCCTTCATCAAGCCCATAACCTGGGGTTGAGCTAGACTAGTGATACTCAGATTGAGGCTTGTGAGACCCAAGTGTCTTTTTAATGTGTCTTCTCTGACTCTTTGCAGCACATAATATTAAAACACTGTGTGATTTAATTATTAACCAACCTAAGTTATTAACCAATCAGGATGCTTTTACTATGTTATTAACCAATTGTAGTTGATAAAATAATAATACTTGGTCAGTCATTTTGCTGTGAGAATAATTTTATATATACATACACACACATACACAATATTTCCCCTGTCATACTATTTAAATATGAATATATAATACTATAACAAACAAAACAATGAATTCACACTAGTGTGGTTCTTTGGGGTAATGTTAATCACTAATTTGGCTCCTGAACCACTGAGGTCTGAGTATTAGAGAGCTAGAACTTAACTGTCTGGAAAAACATCTAATTTTGATATAAAGATTTCAAGTGACATTCCTAGGTAAATTGTGCCAGTGGTTAATTACCCTAATTAAAAACGTGCACCTTAGTTCTAGTCTGAATTTGCCTAGCTTCAGCTTCCAGCCTTGAGATCAGTTTATGCCTTTGTTGGCTAGATTAAGGATCCTTTTATCATCAGAAATCATCTCTCCATGTAGATATTCTCAATCCAGGATAAAGTCATCTCTTAAAAAACACATGCATAAATCTTTACAAGGTCAGGGTCTAATTGAATTATTTATTAATTCTTTTGGGATAGCTTTGATTTTATATTTGTAGGTGGAAATATAAATATAAAGTAACTTGTATAAGTGAAAGCGTTGGCTTTAGTATTTTCAACTGGACTATTTTTTTCAAAGTTTCTTTACTAGTTTATAAAATAATAATGAAAAGGAAAATAACCACAGATTAAATAGGCTTAAATGACGCTCTATGGCCAGTTTCAGCAGAAGTTATGGTAACTGTCCTGTCAGAGAATGGTGCATTTTGGATGCCATAGGGAACTGGAGTAAGATAGTTGCAGAATAGGGGCTTTAGATATGCCATGACAGACACTATATAAACACCTAAGATAGAATTGAAATTAATGTAATTTTCGTATTTTCTTCACAGTTTACTTTTAAATCACCAGCAGTGCTCTAATATTCTACATTCTCATATTTCTCTTACGCTTTATTGTCTTATGTTCCATATTAGTGTAGCAGAAGGTTGACAATAAATTGAGTGCAGTGTGCATACTGGTGTAATAAAAACTGATTCTACTCAGAAGATATGCTGTTTTATGGTACTGAGGATTCTAAAGAATGGTACCCTTTAAATAATTGTGATTTTTGTTCTTTAATGGAAGTAATATTACTGATAGTTTTTTTTCTCCCTTTCTCTAGACTGTGTCTGGTTTCCAGAGAATCTTATCTACGTTAACCCTTGCAATGTTTCCTACCCTCTATTTTTTTACATTCCTTTATTATACAGACACAGGATCAGTGTTTTTTACTCTGTTTGCATATTTAATGTGCCTTTATGGTAACCATAAAACTTCAGCCCTACTTGGGTTTTGTGGCTTTATGTTTCGTCAAACAAATATTATATGGACTATTTTCTGTGGGGGAAGTGTGGTTGCACAAAAGCTAAGTGAAGCCTGGAAGACAGAATTACAGAAGAAAAAAGAAGAAAGGATTTCAGCCATGAAGGGATCATTTTCAGAATTAATCAAAGTATTACAATTTCTTACTGAGTATATCATGTCATTTAAAAACCTAGTAACTCTTATTGTTCTGACCTGGCCGTACATCCTCTTAGTAATTGTGTTCTTTGCTTTTGTGGTAATCAATGGTGGAATAGTTGTTGGTGACAGGAGTAGCCATGAAGCCTGTTTCCACATTCCTCAGCTGTTCTACTTTTTTCCTTTACTCTCTTTTTTTCCTTTCCTCATCTAATGACACTTAATAAAATTGGAAATTTCCTTCAATCAGTACGGAAGTACTTGATTCAATATAGCATGCTCATTGCCATCTCTTTATTCCTGGTCTGGAAATTTACATATGTTCATAAATACTTGATTGGAGATAACAGACATTACACATTTTATGTATGGAGAAAAGTCTTCCAAAGACATGACCTTGTGAAATACATATTTGTTCCAGCCTATATATTTGCTGGCTGGAGTTTGGCTGACTCTCTGAAATCAAAATCTATTTTCTGGAACTTAATATATTTTGTATGTGTGTTTGCTGTCACAGTTCCTCAAAAGCTACTGGAATTTCGTTACTTCATTTTGCCATTTTTAATATATAGGCTCAATATTCCAGTTCCACCTCTTTCCAGGCTTCTTCTTGAGCTGACTTTATATGTTGTTGTGAATGCAGTAACCTTTCATCTATTTCTGAACAAAACATTTCAGTGGCCAAATAGTGAAGAAATCCAGAGGTTTATGTGGTGATTTTGTACTCCTAAGAAGACTCAATTCTGTGCCTTTTCTGCAATGAATAAGTGACTACAGGCCCTAAAATTAAGTAAAGTGTATTGCTATGTGTAACTTTTCTGTGGACAGCGTAGGGCAGGGATCGGCAACCTTTGGCCCGTGGCCCGTCAGGGAAATCTGCTGGCGGGCCGGGACAGTTTGTTTATCGGCAGCGTCCGCAGGTTCAGCCAATTGCAGCTCCCACTGGCCGCGGTTCACTGTTCCAAGCCAATGGGGGCTGTGGGAAGTGGTGCAGGCCGAGGCATGTGCTGGTTGCGTGCCAAAGGTTGTCGATCCCTGGTGTAGGGACTGAAGTGAGTCGGATGTTTATATTCCTGGAAATGAATATGAGATCCAATTTACTCTTTCTACATGATAGGGTATTACACCAAATTTATAAGGCTATAGGGTCCTGGATTTAATAAATATGGCATCAGGGAAAATTCAGAAGTGTCCAAACATTCTGCAATTAATGTGAAATGAAGAAGATGTTTACAGTCATAATTCATAATAATCATGTTGTTCTATGGTAAATACTTATAAAACTGTGTTTCCTCTAGTGGGGGCTCTGGAAAAAGATTTATCTGCTATTAGACACCAAGGAAAAAAGTAACTGATACTTGGAAATGTTGGAGTAAACGTTAAATTCTTGGTTGGAGACCAGCACAAATAAAACTTAAAAAAAAATTGCAAATTAATTGGTAAGCATTCTGATTTCAGGTTGTAGGGTTTTTTCCAAAGTATTTCAGCAGTTAAATATTTATCTAAGTTATGACCTGGTTTCATAAACAGTAAAAATCTGCAGCGTAGATCATTTCCATCCATATCTGTTAGAGATCAGGGGTTAAATCCAGGGAAGCCAGGATTTCACCCCAGATTCTTCAGGAGTAAAAATTATAAAGTTCCTACTTCCCAATGACTTTCAGTGAGATTTAGGCTGCTAAGTGCCTAAGTCACTCTTGAAAATGTGACCTAGGCTCCTAAGTCACTTAGGTGTTTTGAACATTTTACCCCAGATCAATATTTATAAACTCATAATGCATGAACCTTCTTTCTGAGAAATAAATGTAATTGTACAACAAAAGATAAATTGCATTTGATAACATGACGTGTTCAAAAGGGAGCAGTTTCTAAAACACATCATTACACTGTGGAGCTTAGTATAATGAACACTCTTTAAAATAATAGGCTTTCTATGTCCTGAGGTTATGTGCTTAACAAGTTTGCACTTAAGTGGGATGTAAGTGTTCTTCCAAGTAGAAATGATTGTTTCTAAGATCTGACATATAATCTTAAAAAAGTACCAATGGCATTATTTAATTGTACTTTTACATGTTTTTCATATATATAGAAAGGTGTACTGTATATGGAAATTTTTGTTTTTAAAAAAGCACCTTTGTGTATTTTCAGAATCAAAGAATGCTGTGTCTTTTCCCCTCAGTAAATTACTTGAATTAGACTTGCAAGTATTCTTTGGACATTTCTAATAGCTTATAAAGCAGCTTTATAAATAAAATGCCCAAGAGTGAAGTGACTCCAAGCTACTCTCTGTTCTGGGACTGAAATATTGCAGTCAGGTCTGTGTACTCACAGCAAATTCAGCCTATAAAACCTATACGACCGCCATTCCAGTTATTCTGAAATGGAATTGTTTCTCAGAAGGTCAGAGCTGTGTAGTTACTGACCCACAGCTGTCCTTTCTCAGCTGTGCAGCATGCCAAATGTTGCACTCTGTCTCGGAATCCTATCCCATACTCGCCCACCACTGCCCCACTTCTCTTGAGAAAGGCTTAGAGCCACCCTTCAGTGAGTAATTTCTTTGAGTATTGTATTTAAAGCACTCCCCTGCTTCCTGCTTTCTTTCTTGCCCTGCCTCCAATAACAGTAATTTATTGTTAATCTGTATGTAGCATTTGAATAAGGAAGCCCACTCAGATACTTCCACATGACAGAGCCAACTAGGAAAGAGATAGCAGAAGCATGAGCTGGGTTGCATTTCAAGCACCTCCACACATCATTACCTCCAAGCCCAGCCCATACCACTGTCTTAATTTATGATTTCAGTTTGACAGTTTATGGGAGAGATTCATTCATGGCTCCCATCATTCTGCTTGTTTAATTAAAACAGTAATTAATGTTATTATGTAAAAGGTGTGTGTGTAAGCTTTAAATATATCTTTAAACACACTCCTTAATTTTGGTGTGGGGGGGGGAATGGAAGGGCTAACCAAGGGGGTTCAAGTAGTTTTTTGGTTAGAATTCTAACCTCTTCCTGATCGAGCTTTTGTGAATGTATGGGTTATGGGAGAGCTGGCTTTTCCTTGATTAGATTAAAGGAGAGTGGGTCTGAATTTAAATAGTCCATGTACACTTATTTTCTGTGTAGATCTCTCTTGATATTGTGATATCTGAATGCCTTTCAAATAAACATAAGGATGGATAGTTTTTGTGCCCTCTTTTCTCCTTATCCTTAATTGAGAGAGCTCAGTTGGGTTTCAGCTGTAAATTTAAATATCGAAAAATTGTGATGCAGTCATATTCTTCTGGTCCCAATATAGAAGCCCCCTGAACTCTGAGCACCATGCATTTTCTGATGAGCCTTTTAGTACAGGATATTAGTAATCAAGCAGTTCATGAATGACTTATACATAGGTCTTAGGAACTACTTAAAATAAAAAGGATGAAGTTTACAAACTGAAACATCTCAACATTTTAACACCATGGATTTTCTTCCCCAGTGAAATGTGTTAATTGCATTTTGAATGAATACTATAGGGTGCTACTTCCTGTTCTTGATGCTCTGAAGTCTCCCTAGTCTCTGTTTGCCAGAGGCTGGGAATGGGCAAAAGGATGGATCACTTGATGATTACCTGTTCTGTTCATCCCTCTGAACCATCTGGCATTGGCCACTGTCGGAAGGCAGGATACTAGCTAGATGGACCATTGGTCTGACCCAGAATGGCCGTACTTATGTATCTTACTAATTTAGAAACAGGATTGATTTGAAATACTTACTTTTTCATTTAAAAAAAAAAGTCACTTGGCATTCTTAACAGCTCACTGTTCTTTCCAATAATGTTCCCAACCAGGGGAGTTTTGGTATTCATGCATTAGTAAGTTACTAAAACAGAAAATGAGAGAGAGACATTAAGGCTTTCAAAATACATTCACTTTGTATACATATGTATACATATACATCACTTTTGCTGATGAGCTAAAAGCTCTTTATTGAATTTAATTCAATTTCTTCCTGAACAGCAAATTTAGAAAACAAATGTAACATTATTTTAGCAATATTGTATTTTTCAGAAATAGAGATGGTCGTAGTCACAGTGCTATCAGTTATAAGGAAAGGTTTCAAGACTTACTGAAATCACATTTGAAATTCTGCAACTACCATTAACAATGGCATTGTTTTAATCTATTTTTAGTGGACCAAGGTTCCCTGATTTTAATAATCCTGGAAAAGAATAGTTTCTGTTTTGAAAAATTCTAATCTTTGTCTTTTGCCCCTAAAATATTTCAGTTTTTGAAATTTATTGTGGGAGATAATGCCAGCCTGTAATTTTAAAAACAGAGGGGCGCATCCTCAGCCCCAAAATATCTTGTAGGTGAAATGATTTACTGAAGCATTATAAAAATGAATTACTGTAAATGTTTCTAATGAGGCATCCATTTAAAAAATAATTTCATCATGCTAATTTGTTGAAGCAGGTGATTTTGTCCAGGGTGGCAGCTAACGTCGTGTTTTAACAGCATCCAAAAGCGGTAGCTCTAGATTGATTTTTTTTTTTATTAACTAGGAAAGTGAAGGGTGATCTTCCACAGTCAATATTAGGAAAATCAAAATAACTTGCATCTCAGACAACAGAGAAATATATAGAGTAAAGACTGAGTTTTGAACCTTTGAGGTTACTTCTGCTGAACATTGGTTAATTTTGGATGCAAAATCTACTATAGATAGGTGCATTTGTAAAATTTTCTTTATTGGAGACTATACTAATAACTTTTGATAGTAAATAGCTCATACCATGTACATAATTTCTGTTCAGAATTATTCTCTGAAAATGATGTAGCCCATTTCTGTAATCTTTGAGGAGGTATGGTTAATTTTGTTTTGTGATACACACTTTTAAAAATCCTCACAAGGTGGCAGTCTTGAACCATCTTTTTCAAATTACCAGATATTTATTTTAATGATATTTTGAATTACAGTGTCATGTTTCCTACCTTAGTTCGTGTTCGAGAGTTAAAACATTTAAAGTACTTTAGCATATATCCTTATATAACTTTTTCAATAACTTGTGTAGCTACAATGTTTGTGTTCTTAATTTGTTAACTTTTTTTGTTAGGATTTTAAAAGCCATGTATTTTTGCTTATTATTTTAAAAATATTTGTTTTAATTCTAGCAAGATTTGGTATATTGTGTCTGTGAAATCCTTGATCTCTTTTCATACTTGATATTAGAAGAAACAGAAATTAAGCCTGAAAGCTCACTGTTGAAATGAGGTACTTACTTTACATAGTATTTTATGGTGTGTAATGTCAAAATAGCTTTTTAATAGGAAACCTGTTTCATTTCCTAACTGATTTCTTGAATTAACTGTTTCCCCCATCTATATTTTAGACAGAGAGCCATTCTTCCATACCTGAGATACAAATACAGCAAACAGACACATTGAGAAAAGAAAGCAAAGTAATTGTGTTTGTAAGACTGGCACAGGTGGTGTCTTCTTTTGGTTGGACTATGTGCTTTTGAAAAATGTATACTCAAAGGGCTTTGAGACATACGGTAGACTTATTATGTGTTAAATGTCACTTAATTTTGGGTGTACTTGAAATATGTAGAGCCAGGGAGTTCTCAAGAATATTTGCCTGCATATCTCTAACTCTTGTGCTGTATTAACAATCTTAATTTTTATAAAAAGTTTTGGCTCACTAATGTATATATTTTGCTTTAGTGTCTGCCCCTTATGTGCATTTCAGTGAATTGTACAATATTTGCTTACAAAATATCCTTAGTAAGAGTGGTTTAGAGCTCAGCCAGCATAACCAGATGGGTTCTGCTCACCCTTTCTAGCAATAAAGTGTTTGTTTATAAGGCATGAATGCTTTCCTAGCCCAGGCATATTGACATTTGGATCTGGATAAAATGCCTGTGGGGCTTCACTTTTCATCTCTAAGGACTTTGCAATGTGCTGAACTCTTTGAACTTCCTTTGTCTTCAGTGAGAGTTTGAGATGCTCCTTGCAGGAGCTAAAAGGAAAGAATGAGATTTTTCAGAAGGAAAACATTATTGTAATCTTGTTACAGATGGAATGAGAGTTGGTACTAGGAGCAGAAGTGCAAGGAGGTGATTCATGCTGGTTTTCGGATACCTTCTCCCATTGGTGGTGCACAATGATTGGGTCATGTATATAACCACATAGGGGAATTTGTCAATCTACTTGTGGTTGAGAGCATCTGGAACTTTCCCTTTGGAATGGGAAATACTCCTGGAACAGGTCTGCTCACTTGTGTGACTGACCTCACTGAATGTTTGTTTTGTAATAGTTCATCAAATTATTTTTCTTGTATTTAACTATAGTTGTTTTAGTAATCTGCCTCTTTGCTTTCAAGAAAAGTAGTATGCTAATTGGACTTGTGACTGCCATGTTTTTGTTATATATTTTTTCATAGTGTTCATCATCCAAAGACTAATGTAGGTGTTTTATAAAGTAATAAATAAATACAAATTCCAAGTCTATTTTTATATATATGTGTGTGTGTATATATATATATATATATATAATCTCCCTTTCAAAGATGCCTAGCCATGAGCATATCGTTTTTCTGTGTTTTTAAATAAATAAATGGTTCTTTGCATATTTTACCAATTTTTGGCATTGTGTGCACTGTATGTTTGATTAAAATTGCACTGAATTCATTAACAATATTGTTGTACATCTTTTCAGTGATGTAATCACTCTTTAGCTACCTTCATATCTGTTTTAATAAGATGTGAATTCCATTTGTCCCCATCAGGTCTCCAAAATATATTGTTGTGGTGGGGTAGTCTGCCCCTTAAGGGCATTTCAGCTACCAGTCAGTCCTCCCTATCACATGCATGGCTTTTAAGAGCTTGGGGGTGGTCTTACACATAAGGACTGAGAAGAAAGGATAGAGAGGAAAAGGGTCCTGGGGAAAAAATAGCAGTTAAAAGGAATCCCATTAGTGTATCTTTAAGGACCTGGAGCCTTGCAGAGAAGGTGAGGCAGGGATCCCCTCTCACCCAGGCAATAAGAAATGAGGTGAGAGCAGGAGCCAGCATAGTGCTGTCTCCTCCCACACAGCAGGGCAGGTGACTAGATACTGTAGGGAGAAATAAGGCTTCTGCAGGCCCCTGAATTAGCAGGGAGAAGACAGCCTCAGGGAAAGATCTGTCTGTTGAGCCCTTACAGCCTGAGGAGGAAGGACTGATTTGTAAGTAGGCCCAGCTGGAGGAGAAGCTGGCTTAAGCCCTGCAGCTAGCATGAACCATAGCTCCAGCTCTGTAGAAGAGAGCTGTGAGAAACTATAAGCACAGTTTTGAAGACAGTCTAGTAGATGCCAGAGAAGCTGAGGGGAGGTCTATTTTTGTCGTGATCTGCTTTTGGGGTTGAATAAACTAGACACTTGAAGGGTGCTGTTCAATGTACAAGCCTCATGGGACTAATTAAAAACACCTGGGAAACTGAGGTAGAGGTGCAATGGCAGCCCTGTACTGAGCTGCTGGGGGGTGCTCCAGAGGTGAGGGGCCCCCACTACAATTGCTATAGAAAAGCTTGTTATTTACCCAATGTAAATAGAATATTTTTGATTATTAAAATTACAGCCTTTGTGGATAGCAGAGTATTGCTTAAAACCCAGCTTGATTTAGAATACACAAGTCATGTCAATTTTATTGGGATCTCTTCAGATATCTAAAAATGAGCAGTGACTGGTGGAATTAGTATTTAGAGGGGGCTTCAAGAGAACACCAGTAAGGGATGTTGTTGATTTCAGAGCTGGCACTCTGTTCTCTGAACTGAAGAAGTGCTACGACATTGTGTTATGGAGCATGCTTTTTGTAGGAGTAAGAACATTAACCCCTGTCTTAGGCTAATTGCAACTTGGGTAATTAGGCTTTTTAAATTACACTTGCAGTTTGTTGGCTCTTTTTCACTTCCTGCTGTAAGCAGTTACATACAGTTACATTGCTGACACATTTCACCCCAGAGGTTCTACATTTCAGTAGTGTTTATTATAACAGTGCCCAAAAGCATTGATCAGGGTGTGGGCACATATGGTACCTGCTAAAGTAACACAGAGGAAGACACAGTCCCTTCCCCAAAGGACTAAGGCCCAGATCCACCAAGGAATTTAGGCACCAAAGTACCAGATTTAAGCACTACTGTAATCCACAAGCCCTCTGTTCAGCTGTTGCCTGACCCTGTAGGTGCCTAAAGTCACTTGGGGCCTAAGTTTTCTTAATTAAGTTCCTCAAATGTCTAAGTTGCTGCCTCATGCTAGGTGTCCAGATGCCTTTCTCGTGCTTAAGTTCCAGTGCAGTCCACAAATAATGGAAATATTAAATGTTCCTCTGCCTAACTCATGTGTGATCTAATGGGCATGCCTTCCAAAGTGGGCCCCATTCAAAATCTGCTCAGAGGTAGAGGTGTCACGTGATACTATGTCCTATATTCTTCATAGAAATATTGTTATAAGATTATAGCATATCTAAGATATTTTATGTAAGATGGGTCATGTGAGATATCATTGGAAAGGTTATGATTTACTGATTATGATTATTATATTTGTATGCATGTATCATTTTTGTATCTGACATTAGGAATATTGTCTATGCACCTATTACAAATGTGTTTACATCTGGGGAAAGCCCACTAGACAGAATGCAATCAGTCTAGATTGTGGGCTGGAAAGGGCCATTAGGAAAAAAATAGATGCTAATCTCTCACCTTCCTGGAAAGCCTTCCTGTGGACACTACAAACAGACTTTGAATTGGGGCTGCAGGGTCATGTGATCACATCACCTGATACTGGACTCCATGATAAAATAGTACTTTTCCACTGACCTGGGGTGGGAATCACACTGGAAGACAAAGGATTCCTGCCATATGTAAAACCTGTTTAAGGCAGGGAAGTGCCATAATCAAGGTTTGTTCTTCACTGAATCCCCACCAAGGATGACTGCTGTTAACATCTAGGAAACAAAGAAGGAGGGAGGGGAGAGAAGGACTGAGCCCGGGCTGGAAGGGTGTCTAGCCTGCAAATGAAATATCTGAAGTTTTAAGCTGCAGGTCAGTGCAGCTGGCCTTCAAGAATCTCTGCAATCTGCCTAAAACAACATTTAGGGTGAGTATTTGCTACTTATACCAGTTTCTCTAGTATCTTAAGCTCAGTTTGCAGTTTTGTTTATTTCCTAAGGTGATCTGCTTTGATCTGTTTGCTAACCTTTGTAATCACTTAAAATCTATCTTTTGCAGTTAATAAACTTGTTTTTGTTTGATCTAAAACCAGTTTGTGGAATTCATAACTTGGGGAGGGGGCAAATTTCTTCCTCCACATTAAGGGAGGGGACAAATTTCAATGAGTTTATGCTGTATAGTTCTCTATGCAGCGCAAGATGACACAATCTTGGTTTTACACTCTAGAGGGGGTGTGCACTTGAGTGCTGGGCAATTTCTTAGCTGAGCTTTCCCATGCAGTGCTGATCTCAGCATCTGTGTGAAACTGCAGCTGGGTGTGTCCCTACCTGTATGTGTGCTGGTAAAGTGCAGTCTGAAGCCTGAGGGCTTGGCTGGCTTGCCTCAGCAATATAGTGTGAAGGGAGCCCAGGCTGGTGGAACAGGTGGGCTCAGTGGTACCCCAGTTTCAAGTGGCATCCTTGGGGAGCCCATCACATGTCCCACCTTACAACTTTTTTCCTCAGTGCTCTAAATCACTGGGAAACACAGGTTCAATTTCCCCCTCTGCTGAAGAAGGAAGAAAGGCTTTGAACAGGGATTTTCTACCTCTTAGGGGAGTGTTCTAACCACTGAGCTATAGGATATTCTGATGTGGGAGTTCTCCCAGTTCCTCTTGTTGAAGCTGTTCCACTGTGTATGAATTAGTTATTGGGCCAGAGAGAGAGAGAGAGAATGACACTCTGGCCTGGTGGTTTGGATGCCCACCTTGGAGATGGGACACCAAGAGTCCAGACCTGCTCCAAATACTGTTTCATTATTTATCCACAGTGGAACAGCTTAATCAGGAGAGACTGAGGGAGCTCCACATCAGAATATCCCATAGCTCAGTGGTTAGAGCACTTATTTGAAGGTGGGGAGCAGGGATCATAGAAGATTAGGATTGGAAGAGACCTCAGGAGGTCATCTAGTCCAACCCCCTGCTCAAAGCAGGACCAACCCCAACTAAATCATCCCAGTCGGGCCTTGAAAACCTCTAAGGATAGAGATTCCACCATCTCCCTATGTAAGGTGACCAGATGTCCCGATTTTATAGGGACAGTCCTGATTTTTGGGTCTTTTTCTTATATAGGCTCCTATTACCCCCCCACCTCTGGCCCGATTTTTCACACTTGCTATCTGGTCACCCTATCCGAAGATAACCCATTCCAGTGCTTCACCATCCTTCTAGTGAAATAGTTTTTCTTAATATCCAACCCAGACCTCCCCAACTGCAACTTGAGACCATTACTCCTTGTTCTGTCATCTGCCACCACTGAAAACAGCCTAGCTCCATCCTCTTTGGAACCCCCCTTCAGGTAGTTGAAGGCTGCTATCAAATCTCCCCTCCCTCTTTTCTACAGACTAAATAAGCCTAGTTCCCTTAGCCTCTCATAAATCATGTGCCCCAACCCCCTAATCATTTTCATTGCCCTCTGCTGGACTCTCTCCAATTTGTCCACATCCTTTCTGTAGTGGGGGCCCCAAAATTGGACACAATACTCCAGATGTGGCCTCACCAGTGTTGAATAGAGGGGAATAATCACTTCCCTTGATCTGCTGGAAATGCCCCTACTAATGCAGCCCAATATGCTGTTAGCCTTCTTGGCAACAAGGGCACACTGTTCTTGTCCACTGTAATCCCCAGATCCAACTTCTCATTCACTGTAATCCCCAGGTCCTTTTCTGCAGAACTGCTGCCTAGCCAGTCGGTCCCCAGCCTGTAGCAGTGTATGGGATTCTTGCGTCCTAAGTGCAGGACTCTGCACTTGTCCTTGTTGAACCTCATCAGATTTCTTGTGGTCCAATCCTCCAATTTGTCTCGGTCACTCTGGACTCTATCCCTACCCTCCAGCATACCTACTTCTCCCCCCCAGTTTAGTGTCATCCACAAACTTGCTGAGGGTGCAATCCATCCCATCATCCAGATCATTAATGAAAATGCTGAACAAAACCAGCCCCAGGACAGACCCCTGGGGCACTCTGCTTGATACCGGCTCCCAGCTAGACATTGAGCCATTGATCACTACCCGTTGAGCCTGACAATCTAGCCAGCTTTCTATCCACCTTATAGTCCAGGGGTCGGCAACCTTTCAGAAGTAGTGTGCCGATTCTTCATTTATTCACTTTAATTTAAGGTTTCGCATGCCGGTAATACATTTTAACGTTTTTTAGAAGGTCTCTCTCGATAAGTCTATATATCATATAACTAAACTACTGTTGTATGTAAAGTAAACAAGGTTTTCAAAATGTTTAAGAAGCTTCATTTAAAATTAAATTAAAATGCCCA